GGCGGCCGACATGCAACGATACGAGGAAGACTACCGGAGGATGTATGGGCCGACGTATTCTTACATGTCCCAACTTGGCGGGTTTGCATCCATGGCTTCACCTCCACCGGCACCTTCATGGTATAACCCCCCCGATTGGGGAAATTTCGGTGGCTCTAGTTCCGGCGGGTGGCAGTTATGATGGAGGGGATACCACTATGAGAGAGGGAGGCGGTAATGATATGCATGGGAGCGGCTTTGGAGGAGGCTACTATGGTGGCGAGGGCGGGCACTAGGGATAGTGCCATGCTTCAAGTGTGGGGGAGAAAGATCTATCTCTTGGTATGTACACTCCTTTATTTCTACCTTGTACTAAGCATTATTTTCTTGTATTAGTTACACACAAAAAAAAAATGTAATAAAAGAAATGAAATGCTAGTTAGGTTGAAAACCCAAAAGGGCAATCTAAGCAACAAGGGCTTACAAAAAAATAATGAGTGAGTGGTAAGGAAAGGAAAAGAAAAGAGATGCTAGGATGAAAACCTGAAAAGGCTCCTAGGCAAAATGAGAGAAATGAGAGAAAAATTTGTTTTATTTTGCAGGACACTATCTCTTGAAGAAGAAGAAGAAGAGGGGGGAGGAGGAAAGATGAGAAAAAGAAGAAATAGGAGGCATAGAAGACCGTTAAACCCAAGGAAATGTCGTTTTGTAACTTCATTCACTATACTTGGTGGTTTTAGTTTCTTTTTTCTTCCTCTCTATGAACTCATGATCTTGTGATAAACACGATGTAAACATTTGGTTTTACTCGAGGTCGAGTAAAGAAACTAAGTGTGGGGGAGTTGACATTCACATTATTTCCATGTTTATATTTGTGTTTTTGATTAGTTTTGAGTGATCATTACTCTAGAAATTACACACTTTTGGTGTAATAGTTTAGTTTGTAAAATGTTTGTAAATTGCTTAGATTAGGTTTGTTCTGAGCTCAAACAGGTCCAAAACTACTCTAGGGACCATTGGTGAACATCACAAATGGAAGGAAGGTGCAAAAATTCCAAAACAAAGTGAAGATCCTGATTTTTGGTGTTGTACCCGGTCGAGTATACCCTATACTCGATCGGGTAAGTTGCTGAAAAATCAAATCGGATAAATCCGCGAACAAGGCAACGTGCAGGGAAGATTTTAACCACGATCGAGTGTCTATACCCGATCGGGTAGCCGACATACCCGATCGGGTATGCTCATGTTTTTCCAGTTTCTGCGAAGCAACTGAAGGCCCGATCGAGTACCCAATATACCCGATCGGGTACATGACCTTGCAAGCCCAAAAAGCCTATAAATACACCCCATTTCCTCCACAATAAAGGACCAATTCCTTTATACTCTTAAGCTCAGTTTAGAATAGCATTTCTTTATATTTCTTTCAGCATGTTTAGTCTCCAAATGAGGAGCTAAACTTCCATTTCTTGGTGTTGCTCTTGAAGCTTGTTGATTATTAAAGTTGTGAGTTATTTTCTTAACTTCTTTTCCTTGAATATTAATTCTTCCTTTAAATACTATTTCTATATCAATGTTGGGGAGTGTTACTAAGATGACAATTAGTTAATATCTTGACATTGGTTTTAGTAATAGCTATTCCTTCCTCTATGTTAATATCGAGGAGTGTTACTAAGATGACAATTAGTTAACATCTTGATATTTAACTATAGTAGGATTCATTCCCTTTAATATTCTTCCTTGAGTATTAATTAATTTCTATTCATATTTCATATTAATATTTTGAACATTACTTAAAGGATCAACTAGTTTTGTTTCACATATTAATTATTACTAGAAACGATCAACGAACCGATGGTTAATCGTTGATAGTTTTACAAGTAAGTAACTTCGGTTTATTAATGCACGGTCGTGGTTAATAAACTTAAGAGGGATTAATTTTGTTGGTTAAACCGAAACCGTTGTGTTGAGGTTATCAATCTCAATTGATTTCATCAAGGAGTTAAAAGATTAAATGCTACTATCAAGTCGGTATATGGCGTTGTTCTATACTTGACTAATAGTAAGGGTTACTAATGAACGGTCGTTGTTAATAACTATCCTCGATGAATTGGATATACTCCTCGATTGAGTATTCGAGAGGAGATAAGTTATAGATATAACAATGATCGACTAAAATATATCAACAAGTGGAAAGTAGCAATGCCAAGTCCCTTTTATCTTTGAATTAAACCACATAACTCGTTCATCTTCGTGTTTAACTTTAAATCACATCAACAATCAAAACCCCCATTTTATTTACTATTTATATAAAAAGAAAGTTATTCCTTTCCCTGTGGATACGAACTCTACTTCACCTATACACTACGTATAAGTGCTAGTATTGAATTTATTTTGAGTGCACTCACGACAAAGTGCACGTCACTCAGGTATGTCAAATGTTTGTTTGACTAGATGCTAATTATGTTATGTTTCTATTTGATTTAAATATGTGATAATTATTATTATCATTATTGTTATGATTATTGTTATCAGTATTTGTACCGTACCACTCAGCACATTGCTGAGCGGGTAGTTGTTTGTTTTTCCTACCCGTAGGTTGAAGTACATTCAGCTAAGATAAGGATGCTGGGATGGAAGGAGGCGTAAGATTCATGTGCATATCATGTGTGTATTGTTTATAAATAAACAAATAAGAAGCAAGTTTGACTTTAAACTTATCTGATCATTTTCGTTTTGTAAACGCTTCCGCATATCTTGAAATATTTTGTGCTGTATAATATTAAGTGATTTATGGTGAATTGATATTTTCATGTATTGAACAATAAGTTGACGTTTGAATAAAGATATTTTATTTAAATACTTAATTTCGTTTTAACTAATTAAAAGTGTTTTATTTAAATCTGTTTTGATTTCTGCCACGTGACACACCGCTCGGGTCGGCGGGGCCGATTCGGGTAGGGTGTTACAGCAACAATAACGCATTTCTGGCCAGAAAACTTGTCGAGATAAAACATCTGTTTTCAAGTTTAAATATGACTATATGAGGTAAGTGAAGTAAATAAAAAAAATCCAAAACCAGATGTACAAAATGCAGTAACAGAAATAATTAATTGCACCTTTTTGCCTGCATCAAGGACAATGGGGTTATCGGAGAGGCTATGAAATAGATGCTTCTTGGATGCAGCTGGCAACTGAAAGGGCAGTGGAGAGGATGATTTGGAAATTATGTCGTCAATATCGGACGGCACAAATTTGTTCCAAGCAGTATCGGAGTCGGATGCTGATTTGATACGCTTAGAGAGATGATAGAACAAGTGGATACATCCGCCGGCGAAGTTAAGGAAAGAATTTCAGAGATGCAATCCTCTGGCAATTTTATAAAGTTGTCCATTTTCTCGCTTTGATTTAAGTAATCAGCGAAGGGGCACACTTTTTAGTCTAGAAGACTTACGAACTGTAGGTTTATATTCAAGCAAAAACGACTCTTAAAATTCCACTCCTTTGTCCTAAACTCCTACTTTCAAAATACATTGATATTGTACCACAATTTCATTTCTCTTTAATTAGTTTATACTTTATATGTACTCCGTGTAACAAATTGTGTGTTACTTAAATGCTTATTAGATTCAAAAAATTCAATGTTTTGCTACTTGAAATTTCCAAGTGCAATTCTAAAAATATTACGTATGAGAGCAAATATACTGTCACTTATTCATACGCTTATCTCATATGACTTCATAAACCATATGACTCCCTTATGGAGTCATATGTGGTATTGTGCCACCACAATCACAATTCATTTATTTTGTGGGATCCTCCACTAAATAAATGAATGGTGATGATGGTGCCACAATACCTCATATGACTCCATAAAAGTCATATCGGGCTCTTTAAAATTTTTCCATTTTAGCCGCACTATTGAGAACTTAAGTACTTAACCTATATCTACGCCTCCGTTATATCAGCGCATCTCCCACCATTTCTTAGATCTTTTCCTTCTCATGTATCTCCTTCACCAAAAACATCAGATTCAGTAGCCTTCCTCGGAATCATTTGAGTATTTGACGGATACAAACGAACTATATGGTGATCGCTGCCCTGAATGACTGAATCCCCTGATCCCCATCCTCCATTCATCGAAACTGGGTGATCCAATGAGTTAAGCTAGCTTACTCAACTTCCTGTATGTTGGTTGGAAGCTTTAGCTTGAATCAAGAGCGGACTCAGGGCACTGACTCTGACTGAACCAGTTTTAAGAATATTTGAGAAAAATATTCACCCTAGGTTGGCTCCCTTGATCCACACATGGGTTTGATTGAAATCCCAAAGAGAGTCAAAGAGAGAAGAGAGAGAAAGACTCTTTCGAGGAGGATATAGTATAAAGATTAAATTTGTATTGTTAGAGACTAAATGAACATATCCAGACAATTTTGGGCGTGTTTGGCAACGGTTAGCGGATGACGAATTTTGTTAGCGGGTTGTCAATAGTGGATTTGATCAGCGAGTTTGACTAGCGGAATAAATTAACGGATTGTCAGAATAGTATCTTATAAAATGGGACTCAGAGAGTAATAATTAGGGTAATTAATCCACTCTAGGTCAAGAGTTTTCTCTAAACCCAACAAAAACCACTAAGGTCTCAAGTTATGAAAGTTAGAACTTAGAACCGAAAACCAATATGTCCAGCCTTAGAAACCAGAACAAGGTCCATTATTGTACTTGGTCGAAGTCAGGTTTTGATAGACCGAGTTCTACCTGAGTTCGAGTAGGTCGAATTAAAACCCAAATAAAAAATCTATTACTCCCTGCGTTTCAAAATGAATGTCACACGTTTCTTTTTTTGACCATTTCGAAATGAATGTCAGACTTCCTATTTGATAAACAAATCTACATCAATAAAAGTACAAAATGGTGTAAAACAGTGTCAAACAATGTCAAATAGTGTCAAAACAATGTACTCTACAATAAAATTTATCCTTCTATAAGAATATTTCTTAATCTAAGTGAAATCAAAGTGTGTCATTGATTTTGAAACAAAGGGAGTATCACATTGTCGTTTTATATTTTAAAACATATTTTCACATAAATATACATATACAAATTACAAAGAATAACACAAACATTAATCTTCAAACTGACCAACAACTCAAATCCAAACAAAATAATTTACGGAAATTGTCCTAAATAGGACTAAAAAGTTCCTAAAAAGCACAAATAGGACTACTATTTTTAAAATTCCCTAAATAGGACTAAACATTGATTTTCTACCCTAAATACCCCTAAGAGTATTAATTCATAATGAAATGCTTTAATTCATAATAAAATCACAAAAAACGTAAACAAATATTTAAAAAACGTAAAAAAATTAAAAAAAAATTATAAAACATTTATAAAATAAAAAATTTAATTTTTTATTTTTTTAATTTTTTTAAAAAAATAATAAAAAATAGTAAAAACCCATAAAAAATGAAAAAAATTATGGATACATTTCTCACCGCCTCCCGCCGCCTCCCAGCACCACCACCTTCGATTGGTGAAATTTCTTCCACTTTTGATAAAAAAAAATGCCATATTTTTCTGAAAATGCCAAAAAGATGGCATAATTACTCTTCAATATGCCAACATTTTCATTGATTATGCCATCATTATGGCATTATTTAAAATGTTGGCATATTTTTGTCCGGTGATGGGAGATGGTGGTGTTGGGGGTGGCAGGGGTGGTAATGTGTTTTTTTTTAATTTTATGATTTTTTTTATTTATTTTTTATTTTTTTAAAAAAAAATATTTTTTTTATTTATTTTAAAAAATATTTTTATTAATTTTCTATTATTTTTTTACGATTTTTAGTATTTTTTTCGATTTTTATTAATTTTTTCATGATTTTATTATTAATTAAAACATTTCACAAGTTACACGGGTATATTTGTCCAAACACACATAAATAGTCCTATTAAGGGAATTTAAAAAATGTAGTCCTATTTGTGCAATTTTTCCACTTTTTAGTCCTATTTAGGGAATTCACTCAATAATTTATCGTAATATTGCGTCTAAGACATGATTAATACAGAGTAATAGAGAGTTTTTCAAAAATATTACTCCAAGCTTATCTTTATTTGATAAATGCTAAATATATATAGTAAAACGAGCGTAATCGTGATCACATCTAACGGCATCGCGGGGCCGAATCTCAATACCTTGGACGATTACATCTACATCATCCGAATCAATGCCAACGGACGATCGCAATTCCACGCCCTCATCAACTGCTCCGCTATTAAGGAAGGATTTGATTTCTATCTCCTCCCACCCGTCTTCTGTAGTTCTCTCAGAATTTCCAATCATAGTGACATTCTCAAAGGGGTCACTACCACTCGTGATGCTATAATCACTTGAATCGTCATCCCAGTAGCTGCGCGCATCTTCCATTTTGTACATCAAATAACACGAGTAATGTGTTTCCTTGGATAATAACAACTGACTTGTCATTTTCAAAGTAATGTCAAACACACCTTTGTATAAAGTCAGTTTTGCTACCTCCTTAAACCTACAAACACATCAACACGAAATATACATGTGTTATGAGAAGACCAAGACTTGTGATGAAATGGAATCCTTTCATAGATTTGATTGGAGTCCATTCGTAACACCAAATCCTTTACGAAATTATAAGGTGAGATCGTTACACCGTGCCGCCGGTATATTTTGCCTACAATACATCATATTTTTTTTCCTTTTCTATGGTTTCTTCTTCTTTATTTTTATTTTCCTACATTGTTTTCCATTTCTCTATCAAAATATTAAATATTTAGTTGTAATTTTTTATCCTCCCCATTTCGTATTTATACACTAATTTTATCTGTAATATTTTTACAGTCATACACTCTTTTGTAATATATTTATGAGATAACTATGAAAATGGACATCATGGTTACACGCGAATATCATATTTGACACCAAAATTTCAAACGGATCAAATTGGACAATATAGTTGTATGTGAATCTCATATTGGACACTAGAAGTTCAAATAGACCAAATAAACATAAGTAACATATTTTTGGTCATTTTTTGTAACTCACCTAATGTTTTTCATACTTCGTCGGTGTAAGTCGTTATTATTTTTCCTTTATTTATGGTACCTAAAAAATCTTGACCCGTGTATTTAGATATATAATTAGATGAACCTATTAAGAAAACTAGTTTTGTATAATCACATTGATCTTTCTCCCTATATTTTTCATATTTGCACATTTTTTCAAGAGTATCGATTTAAATAGTAAACTCATACGGGTTTATGTTTCTACACAAATAAATTGATTTAAATCACAAGTAAAATCATAAATTCATGAAATCGTACACAATCTTATAATAGAATCGTTTAAAATCATAACAAAATCAAAGTGATGAGTTTTAATGAAATAGCATAGTGCAGTTATATGCATTGTAGATAAGACATCGTGCGAATTAGAAAAGTACACGGGCACTCATCACCAAGAAATATAGTGTGTACATCTATCATATGCCGTCTAAAATTTGAACATAATTATATATTTTTTTAACATAATTATATTAGAAATTGCTTCAAATAAGATTAAAATTTTGGGACTATATGGATTTTATTCCTGAAATAGAACTTATTTGATCCTATTAAAAGTATAAAATATCCCCTAATTGGAGTGAATAAATCCTAAGAAAGTTCCCGAAATAGGACTAAAACAGTTTGAAAATTACAAAATAGATCTGTCATGCTTTTTATTCCCAAAATAGGAGTAATTACTGCCAGGTTTGGAAAATAATGTAAGTTTGAAGTCTGGTACTGCCAAAACATGACAGTAATTAGTCCTATTTTGGGAATAAAAACATGACAGTCCTATTTTGGAATTCTCAAACCTTTTTAATCTTATTTCAAGTAATATTCTCATAAATCCTATTTCAGGAAGAAAATATTTAGTCTTATTCATGCATTTTTATTTATATTTTAGTCCTATACTCCTATATAAGAAATCTTCTCTTACATTCAACAAAACAAGCCATTAATCTTAGATTCAAATATTTGCATTCACTTCTAGTTTCGTATAATTGATTATTTTGCAGTTCATTATTTTTCAATTGGATTTGGAGTTTTGGACTAACCTGGCATGTGGATCATATGTGGTTAGCAACTGATTAGAAACATTCGCCCCACTGAACTCAAGTTCCGCTGGTGAAATCATAACGCATTTCTTGCCTGTATGCTTGTCTAGATAAAATACCTGTTTTCAATATTAAAAACGTTTTGAAATTTCAAAATAGGTGTATAATGTTTTTTATTCGCTAAATGAGTAAATTTCTGCCAAGTTTGGACATTATAGGGCTTTAAACATGACATTTTTTTCCTAACTTGACAACTTACTTATATTTAAACAAAAAACAACACATCTATATATCATCTAGAATTATCGTCCATGAAAACGAACGATAAAAGAAAAAGAAATGGCATACATATTATTAATAGAGTTTTTTAGGATAAAAATATGATTAGTTTTGTTTTTTGACATAAATGTGACTAATCACTACACACAAGTCACTAAACAAGAATCACCATAGTATATTTCAGAGTGACAGGTGGGTGATAGATAATGAGTCACTAGAACTAGGCATTGAATATATCACATTTTTAGAAAATTCTAAAATACTCCGTAAGTCATATTTTTTCTTTTGAATTTAATTTAGTAATATTAATAAAAAAGACTATAAAAGAAAACATAAATGATACTTCCTCAAACATTAAAATCTTTCCGTTTTAACTTGGGTCGAAACTTAACAAAGTGAAAATAAAATAGAAATATATGACTTTGATTGAGTAAGAAAATGTAAATGAACATTAATCACACAAAACTTTTTAAAAAGTAAATGAGAAGAACTTTAAAACATTTAAGTGGAAATAATTTTATAGGACGGAAGAAAAGTACCTTTTTGCCTTCTTCAAGGACGAAAGAAAACCCGGAGAGGCCAAAAAACAGCTGCTTCTTGGTGGGCGGAGATTCAAAGGGGAAGGGAGTGGATGATTTGGAAATGATGTTGTCAATATCGGAGGGCACAAATTTGCTCCAAGCATTGTCAGAGTCTGATGCTGATTTGAAACGCTTAGAAATGATAGAAAATGCCGATACATCCACCGGCGAAGTTAAGGAAAGAATTTCAGAGATACATTCCTCAGGCAATTTTGCAAAGTCGTCGTCCATTTTCTCGTTTTGATCTGTGAAAGCAGCGTATGTAGGGGCACACTTTTTGGTTTTTAAGAGTTACGAAGTGTATATTCAAGCAAAAACGACTCTTAAAATTCCACGCTTCCTTTGTCCTAAACTCTGATTTTCAAAATACATTAATTATTCTATCACAAATTCATTATACTTTAGTTATACGTAGTACTACTTGTCTGCTTTATACTGCGTGTAAAAAAATGTGTGTTACTTAACTGCTTATAATATTCAAATTCAATGTTTTGCTATTGGATACATTTTAAGTGTAACTAAATGTAAAAAGGGAAAATCGCATCTTTCCCTCAATTATGCACAAATTTTAAATCTCAGACCTGTATTTCTGAGATTGTAAATGTCACCCTTCAATTGTCCAAATTGTTGTAAATGTGGTCCTTTAAGTAGTGAAATCACTGAAATGTACGTACGCTCGCCCACATTGTATATTTCACCCCTCAAAAGGACCACATTTACAGCATTTTGGATAATTGAGGGGTGACAGTTACAGTGTCAAAAACACAGGGCTGAAATTTGAATTTTGTGGATAATTGAGGGACCATATATGCGATTTTCACGGGTAAATAGGGAAACATAATTACAATACCACAAACTTTGAAAGAATGTGAGATGAATATCTCAAACTTGCATATGTAATCTAAATATTTCAAATTTTATATAAAAGTTATTTTATCACAAATGTTAATTGCATAATTTAAAATATTTTAGAATTCATGAAGACGCAATTGACATTCTAAACTTACATTGCAAAATAAATATATTACCCCTCAACCTATATAATTGCAACACTTTTAATTTTCTATTATAAATTATGCAATTATAAACCCATAAATTTACATTTTTGAAAGATATAATACATGACAATGACGCTAAAATAACTTTTCATATATAGTTTTTGGAGTATTTCAATTACATATGCAAATTTGAGGTGTTTATCTCACACCCATCAAAGTTTGGGGTAGTTTTTATTATTCTTGCCATGTAAATATGATTACTAACCAAGTGTTTTTGGAGAATTAAGTAAATTTATATTAAAATAAGAGAAATGTTTAAAAAATGAGTAAAATATACTACCTTCATTCTTTTTTAATTGCAACATTGGTGAATTTCACTATTCACATGCTATATTTTGACTTTATTTTATTTATTAATATATTAGAAATTATTATTTTTGAAAAATATTACTAATTTCCCTCGATTTGAAATTTCAAAGTTTGAATTTTTTAGTTTTTTAATAATAAATAATGAAAAACATTAATGATCAAAATTGTGTTTTGTCAAACTCAATGAACCGTTGCTATCGAAATGGAACGGAGGAAGTACGTGCAAATTTCATGTCAGGCCAGTTAACTTCATACATATAAACTGTCCAGTTAACTTCAAGAAATTATTTGAGTGTCTTCCCGATTGAATATTTAGACATTTTTTAAAGGGAAAAGTACGGAAAAGGTGCTTGTGGTTGAGTCCGTTTTTAGATAGGATCATGTGTTTCATTCTTTATCAAAGTGTTTGAATTCTATTATCACAAAAGGGTCACGCCGCTAAAAACGTCTGAAAAAGACCGTTAAAAGTAACTTTGATTTTCAAAAGTGCCCGAAAAATTAAAAGAAATATACCGAAAGGTGCGCCTCAATATGACGATCGCTAGACCATCTTTCTTTTTTGTTTTCAGTCACCCTTGTCACCGGAAAAGTGATATTAGCGAATTTAAAAAAAAAAACAGATCTGAAAAATCCAAAGGCGAAGGTGGTTTGGAGGTCATCTTGACGAGGCGCACCTTTCCATAATTTTTTTTTAATTTTCCAGACACTTTTGAAAATCAGAGTTACTTTTAACGGTCTTTTTCAGAGGTTTTTAACAGTGTGATCCTCTTGTGATAACGAAATTCAAACACATGAACCACTTTGATAAAGAATGAAACACATAACCATATCTGTAAATGGACCCAACCACAAGTACATTTTTCGTATTTTTCGCTTTTTTAAAATTGGGTGTGAAAGGACCTAAGTTGGCCCCTCGTAGCTATTGCGATACGAGCCTTATGTAGAAGTTGGACCAAAGTTGGCCCCTCGTACCTAAGTTGGACCAAAGAAAAAGAAGTAAACAAAACGATAAAAAGCCTTATGGCTATTGTCCGCCCTCGAACCAGACTGAGAATTCATCACCTCTGTAGAAGCAATAACATTCGTTGATCCTGTAATGGGCTTAACTGAGTCAATGACAGCCCTATGAAACTGGAGAGAGAGTTCTCGCACAAATAGAGACTCATGATTAACTTTATAACTGCTTACATTTATATTTAAACACGTTCATGGACAACTGTGGTATTTTTGTCATCAAATTTGCTAAATTTCTAATGATGGATAAAGATTTGAGTGAAGCTTTGAAGGAAGAAGTTGATAGCTACCGCTAAAATTGACGACGGAGCAACTGTTGTATGCATCAAGATGGAAGTAGTTAGACTACGATGCTTTGTAATAATTTGGATTAGGGTGTTGGGAAAGAAAAAACATGTAAAATTTCTTCTTTTGGTCATTGAAAGTTTTTCCTAATATTGGTGTCAATTGATTTAATTTGACTACATATAATCTTCTTTTTTAGTGGCATGTCAAATGCTTGGTCACTCTTATTTAGTGTTGAGTTGATTCATAATCCTTGTTGAAGTAAGCAATACAGTATATAAGTAGATAGTAAAAAGTCCTTAGTGTCTCAGGCATAGACATTAAATTCATTCAAGCATAAATATAAGTACAAACTTTAGTACAAAAATGAGGCAACATGAAATTTGATAGATTCAGAAATGAAATTTAGATATATTTCTCATGCATAGGTATTAGGTACAATACAAATCACATGAACATGAAGGTTTATACATTTATTTTGAATACATAAATAGATGTATGAGTACAATCAACAGACTGTCGTGTTCAATCAGCACTTCAGCAGCCTCAAGTCTTCAATTTGCACTTCATTAACCTCTTGTCTTCAATTAGCACTTCATTAACCTCATATCTCCAATTAGCAGGCATGTGAGGCATGTTAGTTTTACCTTGTGGGAGTACAATAATATCATATTCATTCCTCAACACCTATCTCATGCAAATTTTGGGTCTATCACTAAGATTTCTTGTTGTGACCACCTTTCTTGCACCAAGAACAACACTGATGAGATGCAAATTCACCGGTTGAGGGTATGCTCTTCATTTTGTCCGAATAAGATGTCTTGTCGAGACCACCTTTTTGCACAAAAACATGTCCTTTCTTTCAAATTAACAACAAAGCTTCAAGACGTCTTAGCACTAGCATGCTTCATGGATGAACCATCAATAATAATAACTCGAAAGGAATGTTTCCGGCCCTCAATCCATGGATTGAAAGACATAAAAATGTACTTAAAATTGAGATAATTTTTTGGATGATCATTTAACTTTGAATGAGTTTCAGTTTGATCACTTAATTTTAATTTGATTCATTTCAATCATCTAATTTTAATTTCAGTTGAAGTTAATCATGTCCGGCCTATTTAGTTGCCGGAAAAGTGATGTGGACATCACAACTAATTACAATTAGGCATAGAATTTTTCTCACTCCTACACACGGTCCACCTCATTTAATTATACACAATGATGGTCCTGCAGCCCGTTAATTCATCGTCTCTAACCCTTCCATCTCCTTCGGTCGCAATAGATGGATTTTGAGAAGGAAGAACGTCACTGATGCTTTTCTGAAGCAGTTTGAAAATCTCAGCGCGATGAAATGGTATCATCGCAAAGAAGAAGATGAAGCTCCGATATACTGTAAGTGATCAAACTACTATATGTAGTATTAATTTAAACTTCAATTACAAGAACAGAGAAATATATGTATTACTCACGTGATATTTTAAATATGTTTTACATTTACTCTTCATTCTTTATCGATATGTTTGAAAAATAACACTTTGGAACTTATTTTGCAGTGCCCAGTTCTGAATATTTTACACTTTATCTTCATCATTCTGGTATTTATAAAGACGATGTTTATGAAAATGGAGTCATCGATTATTTCGATTTCTGTTGCGCTGATAGATTATCAAAGATTGAGATTGAAAACATGGCAAAAGAATGTAATCTAGCTCCATCAGAGGTGGAATTATTTTGGTTTTTACCAAAAGTGGGATATGATGGTGGGATTATGAAGAAGTTAATAACTGATCAGGATGTGATTGAAATGGAAATGAATGCAGGTGATCACAGGGTTATACATGTATATGTGAAGGATTTAAGTGAGAGTGCTTCCAATAGTGATGATACGATAGGCAGGGATGCTGAAAGTTTATCAATAGGGATGCTGTTTCATCTTTAATTGTGTTCCTCAAATCAAGCTCCCGGTTTTGATCCAGCCTCTCATTTTGATTTTTCGTGTGTTGTTCCTGATTTTGAAGTTTTTTCTTACTTCCATCTTACTCATATAGTCAACAATGCTATATATTAAAATAAAAATACTTTAGATTTAACCAATTAAAGATGTGTGCAATTACAAATCATTTTCATTATAAGATAAATACTTCAAACTTAGAGTATTGCATGTTGTTTGTGTTGATGATGGTTGCCTCTGGGCTGTTCTTGTAGTGATGCTTTCTGGAAGTCATATGTTCCATATTATAAGGTACATGATTTGCATTTAGAAGTCACATGTTATGTTCCGAATTTCATATGCTTCCTTTGTTACTTTGGATTTTAATGTCTCTATGTAGCTGTTTAAGGACTATTTAGTGTCTGCAATTGTCTAATGTTTTGTGTTCTTGTTTTCATGTTTGATTTTGATTATTCTTATTCCATTGATTTTAGACAAGGTCTTCATTGTCAAGCCACCTCTGAAATTATTACAAACTTGTAAAACATTGCTATGCAAATGCATCTGGGAAATCTTATATATGCTCTTATTGATATAATGGTTGACATAGATAGAGATTATGGTGTGATATTTCCTTACAAAGAAGCGTTGAATGCAAACCTAAAGGCTAATAAAATGGGTTCAGATGAGGAGTCTT